GGGGAATCAGTACAAATTTCTCTGACGCAGCAGTTTGAAAAGGGATGGGGACTTGATGATGTTCTATACGTAAAGCAACATGACCTGAGTGTGATCAAAGAAGAAATGTCACCCTGTCTCCATCTGAGTCAAGATTCAGGCTGCTCCAGGTGCCAGGGACTTCTGTGCTACCTCCTGTCTGCTATACAGTGATGCATCTGCATCTCTCCCTGCACCACCATCCATACACCCATATTCCAAGGAATACTGCAAGTGTGCCCACTATACTAGGCAAGGGCTTTGGGAGTTTCTTCCCAGAATTTAGGAAGTTAAAGAAAGACAAGAAATGGAGAAGCGATCCTTCCCTTCCCTTTATGTACAGCCATGCCCCCTTTCTCCATTCAGGTCAAAGCCACCACCCTGGCCTAGAGGTGTTTACTTGGCCAACTCATGGTCATCTTCTGATGGCCCCCACTCATGGTGCAGATCAGCTGACAAACAGCTGGTGGTGGGGCTGAAAAAAGACTCACCAGGGCCTGAACCTGTTTGAAGGCTGTCATGCTGACTCCCACTTTTATTTGGGATCAATTTAATGTGCTGGTTCAGACTTTAAAGACCTTTAAGGAGTATGTGTGATGGAACAAACTATCCCCTTTTGCTTATTGGCCTCAGTGTCACTATTTTCAAATGTATGTAAAAACAGAGCAAAATTACACCAGATATACATACTGATTGGCAAAAGTAAGCAGTCATAGGGGATAGCTTTATTCTATATATTAGACATATGAAAATAAGGTGACATATCTGAATACAAACAACACTTATATTTATTGGATGCTACCAGCTGCTGCTGGATCCATTCAATATCAGAGCAAATGGGAGTGGCTTCTCCACGGTTTCTTCCTATGTTGCTTAGGTGATCATATCTGTATATTCAAATCATACAGTGAGAAGAGTGATATGCTTCCTTCCCACACAACTATCTCTATCCCAAACATGACTGTTGAAGAAAGAATTTGTGCAGTATTCTGATACCTGTCACCACCGCATTTGTTTCCCTATACATAATATGAGTGTATGATATGTATGATATTATGTATGATATGTAAGTGTTAATTTGAGTTTTATTGCTCTAAGGGTTTTTCCAAAGAAGACCTAATTCTGTAATTCATATCAAAATTAATTAATGCCGAGGAAAAAAGAAAGAAAGAAAGAAGAGGCCTTTGCAACTGTGAATGGTGCAATTTACCATTGACCCACTGCTTTGCAATTGAATGTGAAGGAATAAAGCCTGACAACCTGACAAGAGAAGAAAATTGACTATGGCACTAAGAATGAAATAAAAGCAGTTAACCAAAACTGCCATCTTTCTTTGTAACCATAAAGGAAAAAGGACAGCACTGTTGTAGAATGAAAAATATAAAGCTTAATATATGATATATTTGAGTTTACTGCTGTTATTAATATCTGGCTGGTTTAATCTGATTGATATCAGTTTAAAAGTACAAAACTCCTACTTAGGAGACAAAAAGTTTATAGTGGGTTTCTAACTCCTGGCAGAATGGCAAGGAATCCAGTTAGTTTTTCCAGGTTATCTTGTATAGCTTCCAGAATGCATATAGACTTGTGTAGCTTAGCAAAGTAGGCATTTAAAACCTGTAGTTAACCAAATGGGCTTCATATATAAAGTAAGGTATATCAAACAGCTTTATATGAAAACAAACAAACATGCAACTGCTCTATGCTCTATCAGCCTACTCTTGATAAGGATGTATTCCACTGATCTACAGAAACTTTTGACCCTCTTCCTTTGCTAGATAGCTAGGCTTTACCTTATTGGGTGTGGTAATTTATTTCCAAGCCTATGTACTTTCAAGCAGTTTCTGCTGGAAGGGAGATAAGGCTGTCTGCCAGCCTCAAGCTGTGTTGGGCACAGTATGTCTTGGAGAACAGATGTATGTTCAGCTGGTGAAGAAGTTCTGCATCTATCCACTGAAGGGATATGTGAGAACTTCCTTTGCATTTATTTCTTGCTTTGGCATACATTTACACATCTGTACGTAATCAATAAACTGTCATCTACTAGCACCAGCTGTTTTGTTACATGGTGCCAAATTCTCAGATCTGATTTGGCTGAGGTCTGATCTGTTCAGGCCCCTGGGTTCAAGGAACATGCCACATGTGACAACTACCTGCCCAATATGTATATAAACCTAACATTTTATCACCTATGTCAGGGTTGTGCAACCTCTGTGAGCCCAGGGACTTGATACAATCTGAGACACATTTGGGGGACCAAATTCCTATGACAAATGCAGTAAAATGCAAAATAATTGCCATCATATTTTAACTTAGATCTTGGCAGTAAGTAAGACTTGTAAAGGAATTCCAACCTTGACTGAGAAAAAACAACAACACTATTATTATGGGGGAGAGAGCATGCATCTGGAGAACCCCACAGAGCCAGATTCATCTTCAGAGCCTAAGGTACCCCCTATCTGTGCACAGTCTTTTTTCTATGCTCCTGGCTTTTTTTGTTTCATCAACACTGCCCAAGTGCAACACACATACAAGACGATGCCACTATTCCAAAAAGCTCTGGTCAGATGGGAATGAATGGAGATTCCCAGGGCTTAAAA